TTATTAATTCTCTCTTTTGGATGTCAAGGTGAGAGAGATTAACCCCGTTATTTTTTACTTGACTTTCTGTCATATGTTATTGGCATATAGACAAAAACAAATTATAACTAAAATTAAGTATATGGAGATATATTTTGAACACTTAATTAATGCCACTTATCGAGCATAACAGGATATCCTTTGGTTAACACTATCGCTCATGAGTTAGTTCACTGCTCAATGGCTAACTATAAACTTCAATTTGGTTATAAACATGACGATAGCCATGGTGGACTAACCCAAGACATTGAGGCTTTTTTATGAACTTTACCGGAAATAAAAGAGTTAGAGAGATTACAAAGTTCGCAACAACTAGCAAAGAACTTGCGATAATAACAACCCTAATAATAAACAAGCAATTTTATTCATTCTCTTTCCTCAATAACTGGTTTTTCTGCTTACTCATCTTTTTTGGCACAACTCTTACAAACTCCATTCTCCTCATCCAACTCCTTAACTCACTTTTGGCATTCCGAGCATTGTTCTTTATCTACATAATCCCCACTTTTTTTCTTTATTATCGCACATTTTCATTTGTGCTTAATCTTGTTGAATTTCAGGAAATATTTTTGAAAAGTTGCTTCAATTTTAACCAAGTATTCAACTTACTTCTGTTTTTTTAATTTAGTGAGGAAAATTTTTACTATTGACTCTATTTTCTATTTCTTTATTGACTTCTCCTAATCTTTGCTTTTCTGCTTCGCAACAGGTAGGATAAGGGTGTTTTTCAATAAGACCGGTAACGATCGAGATTCTGATGTCTTGTTTCATTAGTTCTTCTCCTAATAAATCTATTTTTTTAAGAAGTTCAGAAGGGTCAGTTTCTTTTCTTTTTATATTAACTATCCCCTCCTTAATATCTTGAATATAGGTATAGATTTTATTAGCTTTTTCAGAATAAATAACCTCGGCTGCTATTGACTTTTTATTTCTTTGTTCTTTATTTACCATAATTTGTTTTCCAAGAATGGTCTCACCGGCGATGGTGTTGGCTGATGTTTGTAAAAGTTTTTTGTGCTGCTAATTGCTCTAATTCTTTGTCATAATTGGCTTCTATTTCTAAATGTTCATTTGATTTTTCAGGATAAGAAATTACAATTTGGTCGTATAAAGCAATTGGTTTAATTTCTTGATTAGTCTTTTTCAATTTGATAACTTTACAGTTGGCCAATACCTGGCAATCTCTTCAAACATTAGCATAATCTCTTTGTAGTAATTGGGCTAGTTCGTGAATATTATTTGGCTGTTTTTCCCTTACCACGGAAAAGAGTTCTAATCGAGTTTTGCTTAATATCCTACTAATAACCGCTAAATCATTAGCAATTGAGACATTTTTCGGCTGAATATGCTTCTGTCCGGTCTTAACTGCTTTCTCCAAATGAGTAAATATTTCTTTTACTGAGGCTTGTGGTTCGTATTTAAAAATAAATTTCTTATTCATAACTTTTTATATTTATATCTCATTCAAAATAACCAAACTTTTCTTGGGCTAACTGTAAAAATAATCTTTCGGTTTCTGCTAGCGAGACCCAATTAAAAAACTTTTGCTTGCCATTAGAATGATAATGAGGAGACTTACCATGGTGATTATCAATTAGCACTAATTCCGATTGATTTTCAATATTATAAGCAATCAATTTAAATTTATAACCTTTGGGGAACTCGCTGGATTGTGGCGTGGTAATTTTCATAATTCAACTTCAATGCCAATTAAAAATCCTAATTCGGTGATTAATTTTCTTTCTTCGGTCAGCAGTAAGTCACCTTTCTTTTTCATATATGTAATATTTTACAACATACATATAAACTATTTTATGAATTTTATTCTTTCCTAACTTTAGAAATTTATTCCCAACCTCTTTCTAATTTTATTTCTCCCATTTCTGACACCTAACCTGGTTTATTTGGTGTTGATTAAGAATATTTTTACCCTTATTTTAACTTTAATTCACCCATTATAGAGCAAACATATGGAAGAAAAGTACAAAAAATGATCAGAAGGGGCAGAACTGGCGGGAATGATCCTTGGCAAATTTACAGCAGCAATAGTGCAAAATGCTTGTGAAATAATGTAAGCAAAAACCAGGTTTATTAAGATTAAAAAAATAATAAATAGGAATGGGGAGTCTAAAAACTCCCCTTATCTAATAAGCATTCTTCTAAAAAAATTATTTATTAAGTATTGCAAAAAAGTGTAAAATATTCATATGCCTAAAGGAAAATTAAAAAGCGATGACTTTATTTACGAAGGAACAAAAAACCAAAAAAAAAAGAACTGGTCAGTTATACATGAGGACTTTGGCAGAGAAATTTGTTTAGGTTCTGGTGAAACTTATCAACAACTATGAGAAAAATGAGGATTTACTCCCGAACAGGCTCAGCAGTGAATAGAAGTGGGTTTTACTCCTCAGCAACATTGAGCGATTCATGGTTGAAAAAACTATGGTTTTACTCCCCGACAAGCCCAAGAATGAGTAGAGGCCGGATTAGGACCTAAGGAATATCATTATGCTGCTTATGCCAAACACAAAGATTATCAACCTGGCCAAATTAAGAAAAAAACCCTGGAAGTAGAATACAATCACTGATCCCAGAATACCCCTTATAAATTTCATCTCACTTCCATCACTACTAGCAAATTAACAAATACCAAGCAAATCACCCAATTATTACAAAAAATTAAACCATCTTCCAATTTAGAAGCAATCCTAGAATTTGAATTACCAGAAACTAGTTATTCTTTGGAAGATGATTTTGGACTTGCTGAACTAAATCTTGCCGAAGCAACCGAAGAAACAATTTCTCAAATTGAAATTCCTCCAAAAGGAAATAATTAAAAAAAGGAGTTTATCTCCTTTTAACTTCTCTTGTCCGGTCATTTTTAACCATTATTTCAAAAAGAAATTAAAAATTTTCCTAATCAATCCCCACAACCCTAAACAACCAAAACAGCAGAGCCACGGAATTATGAATGATAAATGACATTAAATAATAAGGAGTATAACCAAAAGCACTCATAATCGCCCAAATTACCACCATGATAAAATTAGTCATTAGCAAACTTATCAGCAAAGACTTTCAAATATTTTTCTTATCCATAAATTCAATAATGACTTGGTTTTAGGACTTAGCAAATAGTCCTTTAATTATAATATTAAAGTTTACATCGAGGAAAAGGTATTAAAGGGAATCATGGGTCGAGTTTTTAATTATATAAACCTTATCAACTTAATGAGCAAGACTTCAACGACTTTAAACAAAGACAAAAAAAATACTTTGCTGACCTTGATTTATTGGGTAATAGATATGAAATAAAAGTTATTTAAAGCAAATTACTTAAACCATAATCACCAACTCCAGTTTAAATACTTAGCACTGCTCCCCCTTACAAAGTTTCATCTTAGCGGACTTACATTAACTTTTTTTAACTCCCTAAACCCAACCACTAAGCCCTTTTTTTACCCCCTCCCGCCGTTCACACCACCACTTCTTACTCAGAATTCTTTTTTTAACCATTCCAGTCCTCTTTTTTGTCTATTTTTCACTCCTTGGGGTCGTTGGCTCATTCCTCATAATCTTTGGCCGCTTGTTTTTGCAGTTTGATGATTCCCATTACTTCCAAGATGCGAAACATCTCTTCAAACATTAGCATAATCTTTATTTAATAACTTAGTTAACTCTGTTAAACCTTGCCCTTAACTTTTTGAACCCGTTGGCGAAACTTTTCCACTGCCCCCACATTTATTTCACTTGCCAAAGTTCCAGTATAAAAAGGATTACAATTACTACAACTACTATTCGAAATATCTTGGGAAGAAGTAGAAACTGTTTGATACTGCTGATTACAATACGAGCAACTAATAGTTATTTGATGAATTGGTAAATGAATTTTTTTTTTCATGAAACTTTAATTTATTTTAGAAAATGTCTAACTGCTCCTTAACTTTTTTTTCTTGCTCTCGTTCGCCTTTAATTCATTTTCAAATCTGTTTTCAAAAAATAATAATCAATATTAAAACGGCGGTTAAAGCAACAAAAAAAATAATTCAGCCCGTAGTTCATGGAGATTTTTTTTCCTCCTTTTGATATTCAACATTAATAAGAGTCTCAAAATCAACTCCTTTGTTCTCTCAATAACTGGGCTCAATTTTTACCTTTTCCCAGGAAAATTCCCTATCGTCACTACTATCACCTCGATAAATTTTAACTTTATAATTACCACTTCCATCATCCATAATAATATACTGCATATCGTCCCCGTCGGCATTCAGCCTTTTCCCAATTTTAGTACTCCCAAATTTATCTTTCAATAAACTCTTATGCATTTCCTTTAAGGCTTTATCAAAATCAACTTTCTTACCCGGTTTTACCATTATTTTTCGTTCCTTTTTGTCTATTTTCCAACAATCATCAGCCTTTTTTATGATATATTCAATGTTCTTTTCATCCGTATCCTGATAATCACTAACTCCTCATTGAAATTTTGGAATTAACAATATTTTATGTTCGCCTTTAATATCCGTGTAACGGGGTACTTTAACACCTTCTTCATCAATTACTTTTACTTCCAAATCACTACTTTTAGGTTCTCCCTTAATCAAAACCCGATTAGCATCGGCTTCTACCTCAGTATCCGAGAGGACAGATCAACGAATTTTTTTCATTTTCCTTAATAATTCTTATTTATTTTTTTTTCTTTTGAAAGTACATCCCTTTTTTATACTTTCTCAAAGTAAAAGAAGCCGCTTTTTTGAAAATAAGAAACGACAGTTCCTTATTATTCTTATCATTAATTTTTATTCTTATCATTAATTTAATTTTACTGGCGGTTCTGACGAGAATCAAACTCGCGATCTCCTCCGTGACAGGGAGGCGTGTTAATCACTACACTACAGAACCGCTGGTCATGGTACCCAAAGCCGGATTCGAACCGGCACTTGGCGGATCTTAAGCCCGCTGCGTCTACCAATTGCGCGATTTGGGCTCAGGCTAATTTGGCAGAGGCGGCAGGACTCGAACCCACAACAATCGGATCTGAAGGCCGATGTTCTACCAATTGAACTACACCTCCCCGGTTTTTAAAAGGTCAATTGATACTCACCAGCAAAGGCGTTTTATTGAGGCTTACTTAATTGTAATTATGGTGACCCGTACGGGAGTCAAACCCGTCATGTATGCGTGAAAGGCATATGTGTTAATCGCTTCACCAACGGGCCCCGACTTAAATCCTAATAAACTCTCGTAATTGTTGGACACTCATACTTCCACCCCCCCTTTTAATCATTCTACCCTGGTAAAAGAGAAAAACGACCGGTACGGAATAAACATTGAAGAGGGGCCGTTGAGCCAACCGGGGAAATTTTTCAGCGTCAACTTGCAACACTATTAAATCCTTTGGTTGCCCAGCGGTTGTCTCCAACTCGTTCAACAATTCCTCAATACTTTTTTGCAACACCTGGCAAGGCGGACACCAAACGGTCGAAAACTTCACCAGCACTCGTTTATTTTGATTATTTTGCAGAAAAGGATCAAAATCCTCTTCCTTAACTAAACTTTTTAGCATAGGATAGGGAGGAATGAACTACCCGCCACTTAGAAGGTGGGGGAGTTCTTGGCTTGTTTTTGGTAAATTAATATCCCTACACTTTTATAAACTTTCTTCCTCTTTATCTTCACTTTTGCTGGAAGCAATTCATCATCAAATCAAGGCAACTATCGCAATAACTATAACAACGATTACTAAATAAGTTGGCCATCTCATTGATTTAAAAAATCCAATGCCTGGCTTGATAGGCTTTTCGGTTTTTAGAGAAGGAGTTATCTCGTTATTTTCTAACTCCATATCTTCAAAAAACCATCCACCAGTATATTTAACTTTTTTATTAAAACCTTGTCATTTATCATCTCCTTCGCCTTTTTTCCTATATTGTAAATCTAACGCTTTGTCTGACAACTCATTTTTTTCACCTTTGGTAAATTCTATTGGCTGTTCACCGCCATCCTTGGTGCGGATTTCATATTCATCATTGCCTACCTTTACAACTTGTTTTTCAATTTTTATATTATACTTTTTAGACATATTTATTATTTTAATTAATTTTAACTTATATACTTATTTTTTTTAACAATTTATTTGGAGCGAATAAAGGGAGTCGAACCCTCATCATTAGCTTGGAAGGCTAAGGTTCTGCCATTGAACTATATTCGCAATAGCGGAAGTTTTTGCCCTCCCGCCCTTCATCCAATTACTTCTTTTTACTAAACCCTTTTTCCAAATCAACGGAGAATTTGGCGCTTGGAACTCCTTCGGTAGAAATAGTCATCTTTTTTTAGTTTTTAATTCATCGCTACCTCTGGATTTTGCACTGTTATTTACAAAGAGCAATAATTCGGAAAATGAAAGCCGGCGACCCTTGGAATTATAAACTTTTTCTGCTAATTTTGCTTTTCCTGCTATTGACATTACTGTCTTTTTTGTTACCATATATTTTTATTTTATTATTAATATCTTTATTAATATCTTTACATTTTATACTGGTGGTTTAGGGCAGGATCGAACTGCCGACCTTCTGATCTTCAGTCAGACGCTCTAACCAACTGAGCTACCAAACCTTTTTATTGGGACTGGTAAATTGCGGTCACCCGCGAACGTTCTTCATCATCAGGGAAAATAGAAACCTCGGCTTGAGGAAAGTATTCTATTATTAATTTTATAACTTTTTCGGCCTGCTGGTGACCTATTTCGACCACCAAAAGAAACTTTTTCTCCAAAAAATTACGGGCTTGCTGGAAAATTTTTTGGTAAAAAAAATAACCCTCGTTTTCGGCCACTAAGGCCTCGACAGGTTGGGCTTTAACTGCCGGAGAAAGTTTTTTATATTCTTCAACGCTAACATAAGGCGGATTAGAAACAATAATATTAAATTTTTCACCTTGTTTTAGGCGGTCAAAGAGGTCGCTATAAATAAACTCAATATTTTTTACTTGGTGGATTGTTGAATTATTTTTGGCTACTTTCAGAGCCTTTTGATTGATGTCAGCTGCCCAAAAATTCCAATTTGGTTGATTTTTAGCCAAAGAAATTACCAGATTACCACAACCAGTTCCAATCTCCAAAACCCTCAATTTTTCAGTTTTTTTTCAATATTTATTAGCCAACTCTAAAACTTTTTTTACTAATATTTCGGTATCTGGCTGAGGAATAAAAATCCCCTCTTCAAGATAAAAATTTAGTCCATAAAAATAAACTTGCTTAGTTAAATAGGGAACCGGATAACTTTCTTTCACATAGCGGCTCAAATTATGGCAAATCTGAGAATAATCAGCCGCGGATAATGTTTTTTTAGCAAAATTTAGTCAAAAATTTTCGGGAACGGTTTGGCAAAGAGCAATTATATCATTTTTTACCTCCTTAATCTCAATCTTCTTTCGCAAAGCAAGAGCATAATTTCAACAATCTTGATAGGAATATTTATTTTTCTGGCTTTCTAGCATAGTTATTATTAATTTTCCTTACCATCCTAAATCTGAAAAATATTCAAAAAAGGTGCTGGCAATAGACAGATTTATTAGGGACGTTTAACAGCATTTTTAACTTTGGCTTCATTATTAAGATAATAAGTACGGGTATGGGGGTCATATTTTTCGATATCCCTTTCTAAATAAAATACTATAAATTCGAACTCGTATCGTCGGTTTTGTTGTTGTAAGTGGTTTTTGGCAAGTAATTTTTTAATCGAGGGGTTATCGGGGTGAAAAGCATATTTATCTAAATCTTTTTCGGGTTTTCCTTCTAGGACTTGGTTATCAATAAAAACATAATCACCACCGGTATATTTAGAATAATCAAAATAGACTTCTTTATTCTTAGTGTTTTCAAAACGATTTAGAAAATCAGGGTCATCTTGAAGCGGGGTGCTAGGAGTTAAAGTGAAGCCGCTTTTGAAAATGGTTAATAGAGGTTTATCGGCACTACCTCCAACCACTTCTTTCACTACTTCCTTTTCGTCATAAGCGAGCGTAAAAGATAAACTTTGGT